TAAACTCTCTTGCAGAGGAAGCAGACACTTCCCTGGCAATCTCCTTTTCCCATTTCACACATTACAGTGTATGCATCGTAAAATAGAGGTCTCTCCTTCAGTCATTTCACTAGCACACTTGATTGGTGCTCATCTTCCTTCCCACCATCCCATGTCTCTGCCCATTATCCCATCCATAGTGAATTAGCATCCTGCCTTCTGTAGCTTTGCTCATTTTGAGCTTTAAGGAGGCACATTTGTAATATAGTTAGTGAAGGCTCTTAGCTGCTTAAAGTTTTTGTATTTCTTATATAGACCTTTTTTTTTTAACTTTTGCCTTAGGAAAGAACATTGAGATTTGCTTTAAATAATTTCTAAAAGAATTTTGCTCCTGGGGAGACAATGAGTGCAATAGAACCCCAAACTTCCAGAATGCACTCCCTTTTTAGCTGGTATCCAAAAGTGTCTGATTATTGGAGACTTCACATTCCTGAATTGCTTAATCTCCTTTATTGTCTGGGATATTATCTCATAGTGTTCTTTAAACACACCCAAGAAATTTAGAGGCCACCTCTTGAAAGCGTCAAAAGAATTTGGCCCTATTCCAATTTAAACAATCTTGAAAATCTAATTTAGTGAGGCATCCTTGACTTCTCCTCTGCTTCGTTCTCTATATCCAGTTGGTCTTCACGTCTTCAGTGCTATCTTTTTATCACCCTTTGATCTTTTCTCTCCTCTTTGTTCCTGCTGTCACTGTGTTAGTCCTGTCCTCAGTCAGTTCTTATAGGTCCCTACAACTGCCTCTTACTCCCTGACAGGTCTTTATCGGCTCCAATCCTGTCTCCTCAGGGCCACATAAACCCGGTCATGTGACCCATGATGAACATCTTTCCTTGGATGCTCATGGCCACTGGTGTAAGGACCAACCCATGGAAGAGTGTGTCTCAAGCACTCTGTGATCAGGTTCTTGGCTCCACTCTAAGCCTCACCTCTTGCCTTCTCCCAGTGTTTCTTCCACTCCAGAATAATGAAATATCCTTGAGAAATTAGAAGTAAGACTACCCTCTGAGAATTAAGCTATAAATCAAAACTAAAGAGATGAAGACGGAAATCTTCCAAGTCTTCCTAAGGCAATGGACTGAGTCTCTAGCTGGGAGCTTCATCCAAAAAATGAGTGAATGGAGCAACACATAGACAACAACGGTCAATCAGAGCAGAGTTGGTCACTCAGTTTGAAACATAAAGATAAAAATGGGATTACAGAGATAAACTCATAGCCAACGGACTTCCAAATGTTCTAATTTTGCCATCAGCAAGTGTATTTTATTGTGATCATGAATGAATCAGGCCATCTTAGTCTGGAGATCTTAACTCTGAGGCTCATCTGCCAGTGCTCTCAGCCAGGGGCTATTCAGCTCCCCCTAGGGGACATTGGAAATATGTGTGCACGCTTTGGTTTGTCACAATGACTGGGGGGCCCTTATTAGTATTTTAGCAGCAGGGTCAGGGGTGCTAATGGTTTGGCAACTCAAGAGACTTGTACGTGCCATGAGGAATTCCACCTTCAAAATGCCAATAGTGCCCCCACTACGAATATAGAATCTTGCTTCTGATCTCGGCTTTCTGTTGGGGGTTGGCTACCGGAAGAGAATATAGGCAGTTCTGGATTCACAGACATCAAGTCTATTTAAGTGACTGGAAAAAACTCTCCTTCCCACTCCAATTAGAAAATTCCAAGGAAGAATTCCAATTGGAGCCAATTAGTTCATGCTCCCCCACCCCTTTACCAATCAGTATGGCTACAGGGATGGAGCCTATGATTGGCTCAGTTTGTGTTGGCCCACCTGACTGTGACCAGTGTCTATGTCCGGAAGGGGGAGTGAAGCAGATGGGGTACCAGGTACACACAAACAGAAGCCACCACAGTCACTTTCCTTCCCAGTAAAGTCTATGTAAAACCTATATTCTGACCTCCATTGGGTCATGTCCTCCATTGTTCCAAGGAAATAAATGACTCTTAATGATTAGTCTTCTATCCAACATCAAAGACTCAAACCAAGCATATGAGATACCTAAGCCTGGCATAACAAGATGCCGCAAACTTGTTGGCATAAAGCAATAGAAATTTATTCTCTCGCTATCGTGGAGGACAGAAGTCCAAAATCAAGGTGTCATCGGTGTTGGTTCCTTCTGGGAGCTCTGTGGGAGAATCCATTCCGTGTCTCTCTCTTAGCTTCTAGTGGCTGCTGGCACCGTTGGCATTCCTCGGCTTGAGGCTGAAAGTCTGCATCTCTGCCTCCGACTTCACATACCCTTTCCCTCGGTGTCCCTGTTTCTGGAATCTCTCTCTTTTCTCTTTGATGGACATTTGTCATTGAAATGAGAGCCCCTCCTAATCCAGGATGATCTCATATGGAGATCCTTAATTGCACCTGCAAACACTCTATTTCCAAATAAGGTCACATTCACAGGTACAGATGTCAGGGACATATCTTTTGGGGGGACACTATTTAACCCACCTCAACGACTGATGTGGTTACAGCCCCAGGAAGCCAAGGTAGCTTTTCCTTTCCCGAGTTCTCCAAATTCATCATCTATACCCATAGAACATGAATCATTCATGACAAAAACACTTTCTAAAAGTAAAGCTTTCGAACAAATGTGTGGATGGAGACAATGAGCCCCAATTAAGCTCCCTTTTGTGACAAACCTCTTAGAAAAGCATTAACTCTAATCTTCAGTGAAAAGCATTGTAAAATGAAGTTTGGATGGGAAGATGGTGTTTGAAATGGCCCGGGTTCCCTTTAATGGAATGAAGAGAGGCAGAATTTACTGCGATTATGATATGCTTTTAGCCACACAAAGAGTCAGGGTCAGAGAATTAAGTGAAACCAACAAAAGTGTGGCCAACTGTGGTTTTGTCTTTGAGAGACTTTGTGAATTATCAACAGCCTGGGAGATGGAAATGCTCTCTTTCCATTCAAGATACCTTCAGAGTTTGTGTGAACCAGGCTCTCTCTGCCTTTCAGAATCACTTTTGCCTTTTCCACCTGCATTTTCAGTTTTATTTTTTGATTGTTAGTGTTAAGAACAGGGTAAGAAATGATGCCTTTGGTGGGCACTGGTGACAAGAACTCTTTTTGGTTAAGCTAAGAAATTAGCACATAATTCATTTTATTATAAAAGCTGTAATAATATGCCCCAGATCTTCACATGGCTTTCTCTACCAGTCAGTCTGGGCTTGGCTCGAAAGGTACTTCCTCACAAAGTCCTTATCTGTATCTGAAGCATCTTCCCCACTGCCCTCCACCCTCCCCGCCACCGCCCACTAACCCTGTCGCTCTCTATCCCCTGCTTTATTTGTCTTCATGGTTCTAGTGACGTTTTATTGAGGATATACTGATTTGGCTGAGGGCTGTTGCCTTTCTGGATTGCAGGCTCCAGGACAGCAGGGACCTTGGTCATCTTGTATACCCAGCACCTAGAACAGTGCCTGGCACATAAGGGGCCTTCAATCAATATTCATTGAACAGATGGACCAGTGCATGTGTGAATTCCTTTGCTGTGCACGGTGTGTACTGACTCATTTCCTCCTCGGAGCAGCACTGCAACGTGGATGCTGAAATGAGTCAGAATAGTTCCCTGGTGAGAAGCGCGGCAGTTCAGAAATTAGACAGGTAGTGTAAGACACTTGTGAGAGCACAGGCTGTGGGCACCAACACCTGCTCTGCCACTTTCCACCTGGTTGCTGGGCCTCAGTTTTCTATCTGTGAATTGGCATGATAATGATACCTGCCTTGTAGGGTTGTTATTATGACAAATAAATGGTGGGAACAGAACCTGGTACATTGTAGGCACTCAATAAATATCAGCTGATGTGGTGCCCTTTCTCTAGATGAGGGAACTAGATTGGGAATGAGGTAACTTAAGCAAGAGCACGTAGTTGCTAGGTGGCAGATGCAGAATCCGAACCCAGATCTGACTTCCCGTGGAGTCTGAGTCAGGCCTTGGGCACTGCGTTAATTCACTTGATGCATTTGGGGTAGACTTGAAAGAAAGTGGCTGTGTCAAGGGAGTGCTATAGCAGTCTGAAAGATGGAGGTTGCATACTTCAAATGACACTGCTATCAATGGGCCACCCCAAGGACTTTGGTCAACATGGGGAAACAATATTGGCCAATTTGGGAAAATAGCTCACAGCTGTACAAAACAAAATCTGATGGCTTTCAATTTGACTTCTCAGAGATGGGCATACAACAGGAGCAGGCCAACCTATGCTGATTTACCAACAAGCAAGTCTCATCAGACCCACTTCAAAAGATGAGAGACTAGTTGAGTTCAAGCCACGGCATTGCATGACAAAAAGCAGAAGTTAACTGGGTGACTCACAGCGTGGTCAACCATACTCAGCTACAAGTGCTGTGGCCCCAGATCCCTACCTTGTTTTTAGCACAACTCTTGTGTATCTACTAAGGCCCTTTGGACACTCACCTCTTGATTATCTGCTTCTTAGTCTGTAGGTCAGCTGAGTCCATGGATAAGTCAGAATATAGACACATCGTTCTGTGTCTTCAGTCTTACCTTCCTAGCTGCGTTTTGTTTCACCAACAATCATTGCGATGTTTAGGAGCACAAGACAGTTGCACAGTTTTGGAATGTTGTTAGGCATATGCTGGGAAAAAGGGATAAGGGTTTAAATTTTTCCGCAGACAATGTGCAATCAGTTGTGATTCAGAGCTAAGAACTCTGAGCCTTATGGTGGTACTGTGTTTATTAGGTGTCCTGGTCATCAAGGCTTAAGGACATCTGGAATATTGCCACCAAGGTCTTGAAATCCAACCCAAGAGGCTGGATCCTTTTCATCTGTTGACCTTCCTTTCTTAAGTGTGGCTTTTAGAAATAAAATCTATTAAAGACCATTGACCGGCTACTTAGCTAAAACAGGAAGAGATAAAAATAATTCGCTTGCATATTTATTTATTTATCTGATCACTGACAGTTCTGAAAATGCCAAACTGAAAAATACACCACTTTCCTCTCATTGGTGACAATTAAATAGCTGCTCTAATACAAAGTAGTAATAATAATTTGAATGCGTTAGTTTCCCAACTGCTGATGTCCTGATACTCTGCAGAAACATTCATGGATTTTCAAGCTGATTTATTTTTATTCAATTTCTCTCTGTCTTTAGGGTCTCCAGAGAATATTCACATAGTTTTCTTATGAACTTTGTTCACTATGAAAAGAATCTATCCTGGTTGTTGGGAATTAGTATTATGCTGTAAAATACAGTGAAATTCCGTCTTAATAAAGCAGTTTCTATTTTCCCTAACTTACTCCTCTTCTCCACACATGCAGCGTGTTCTATATTATGGACACGTTAAACTACTATAATTTATACTCTACTCAGAAGAATTTGTTTTTTTAAAAAACCCCGTAAATTATCTACTGCCTCATCAGTATTGTGCTGTGCCTTAGCAAACACAGCAGACAAAAGTTCTTGTGCAAATTCCTAGTGATCCTACACATTTGAGAGAGATAGGCCCTCTCCTAGCAAGCACACAGGCAGGGCCTCCTGCACCATGTGTTAAATGCTTAACATCTTTAGAGAGACCCCCTGGCCTTCTACCCAAACCAACAGTGAGCACAGAGTGGGAGCATCTCCTGTGTTTGAAAGCCCTTTGATTGACAGGAATGAGAAAATCCATATTGACTGCCATATTCTGCTCCTTTGACGGGTTTTGTTATTGTTTGTGGCAAAGTGCAGGAAGCTGCCATTTGCTAATTTCCTTCACTCTCTTTCCCAGGATCTGTAGCATGTTCCCCTCGGTCAAGAGATTGCTGACTCAGAGGAATATTTCGTGGGCTGGATTATATTAGGAAGAAGGTGTCCGTTTTCAAGTCTGTAGAAAGAAAAGGAGACAGTTTTAAAGGAAATTAAGAGAAGACAGGCTAAAAATAATTGTGCTTACAAAAAAGTAATAAATAAGAGGGTGTGCCACAGCCACATTACTTCAGAATTTTAAAATAACCTCCCAGATGGTTTATTAAGAATTAACTCTCTCTATTCCATATAAAATTGCTGTGATAAGAAGTAAAGTGTTTCCTATCCAAGATATTTGCCTTTATCAGTTCACCCAGCTGAGCCTGGGTGAACTCAAACCTTCCAAGACCATAGATTATGTCTCTCTAGAGTAGTGTTTCTCAATGTTGGTCAGTCAACATACGGGGCTGGGTAACTCTTTGCTGAGGGAGGTTGTCCTGTGCATTGCAGGATGTTTAGCAGCATCCCTGATTTCTACCATTAGACGCCAATAGCACTCCCCCTCCCCCATTTGTGACCTCAAAAATGTCTGCAAACACTCTCAAATGGCTCCTGGGAGCAAAACCACCCCCATGGAGAACCACTCCTCTAGTGCAAGGATGGCAAGACTTATAGTCTATAGCTTACAACCTCATTCTCGTTGGCTGGTCATGGTTATCTGGAGGAGTAGCTGAGGAAGACTCTGAGGGCTCGGCTGAAAAAAATTTCTTGGACAATTAGCAGCAGTTTCCATGGGTTTGGGAGTGGGGAGAGGTGGTGTATTAATTAGGGTTCTTTGGGGAAACGGAACCAACAGGAGAGAGAGAGAGAGATTGAGAGAAAGAGGTTAATTTTCAAGACTTGGCTCCCATGATTGTGTGGGCCGGCAAGTTCAAACCTGCAGAGTAGGCTGGGGACCCAGAGAAGAGCTGCAGGTCAAGTCCAAAGGCCATCTGTTGGCAGAATTCCTTCTTGCTTGGAGGAGGTCAGTCTTTCTTCTGTTAAGGACTTCAACTGATTGGAAGAGGCCCACCCACATTGTGAAAGGAAATGTGCTTTACTCAAAGCCTACTGATTTAAATGTTAATTTAATCTAAAAGTACCTTTACAGATACACCTAGAATAAAGTTTGACCAAATATCTGGGCACCATGGCCTAACCAAGGGGACACATAAAATTTACCATCACAGGTGGCTGCTACCTCCCACATGAAAGCACTTTAGACTGGACTCTTGACCGTATTGTCCTGCACTGCACTCGTGGTCAATGCCAGCTGTGTCCACTGGGTGGATCCTAGAAGACAGGCAACAGCCTGCACACCCCATGTGTAGCATGGTGCTGCCCTAGTCCCATCAACATGTCTAACTTGACAACAGGAAGAAATCAGAAGATGGCAATGAAGTCTAACACACAAATCAGAAGAGAATGGGGAGAAAACCAGCTGGAAAGACGGAGGCAAATGTACCCCAGATGGGGGGTGGGGGTGGGGATGGATCTTAAAATGGAAAGGAAAAATTTGCTGCCACAGATGAATCTCACTGACATAAGTCTGAGTGAAAGAAGCCAGAAACAAAAGCTATACACTAGAAGATTCCATTGCTCTCAGATACAAAGCAGACAAAATCAGTCTATGGTGTTAGAAATTGGGAAAGTGGCTGCCCAAGTGGGCTTTCGGGGGGCTGGTCATGTTCTTTTCTTGAGCTCAGTGTGGAAACATGAGTGGGTTCTCTTTCAAAACCGCAACAAGCTATATTTATTATGCATACACTCATCTGTATGTATATTATATGTGAATAAAAATGTAAATTAAAAAGACACAAATAGCAAGAAAATGAGGGTGGGAGTGAGAAGACGAGAAAGGTGGAGGCAGAAGCAATGATTATGTCATCAAATCATAGGCCAGTCCCACTATTTGTTTTATCTACTATACAAGATTTTAATACTAATTATGAAAATATTAAAGATTTACTATTTTTCATTAAGGAAATGAGGAGACCTTTAAAAAGACTGACAATATCCATTTTTGACAACCGACTAGGTAACAGGACCACAGGACCCAGGAGGTCCTGGATTACTAAAGTTCTAGCTTTCAAAGCCATGAGCAAAGCAAAGGCCTGTCCAGTGACAGGTGAATAAATGCCCCACAGAATTCCAGGAGAACTCAGCTAAACTACGCAGCTTTCTTTTTAAGTGGGAAAATGGAATACTTCAACGTGAGCAGAAGTAGTATGCTAGCAAGAATAAAAAACGTTCCTGGTCCTCATCAACCCTCTTCATCGTCAGTCTCTGGTGCCTCCTGGGGTTGACCAGATGACCTCAAAGGTCTTTTCTGTTCCTCATGTTCTGGAATTTCTATATTCCACTATAATGTATGAAATACCCATTCAAATCATGACTATCGTACAGTTCTATAACTTAGCACTTTTCTTCCATTCTTAGCTTCTCCTTTAACAAGGAAAACAGAGACTTCAATGCTCACAAGCAAATCGCTGTTTTGTTTGGTCTGAAGTCAGATGGGCGGCCTCCAAGGAAAACTCTCTTTTGGCATTTTCCAATTAGAAAGGGCTGCACACTGCAGCAAGAAACCATGTTCCTTCCCACTTTCCGTCTACTTTTATTGCCATTATTTATCTGAGAGGATCATATTTCAAGAAAGACTTTTTCCCTAACCGAAGGGAAAGAAAGACATTTCTTCTTAAAAAAAAAAAAAAAATCCAGCAAACTCAGATCCAGTAAGATGTCTATCATTTTCAAGCTATGACATTTTTTATGGAGTTTGGAATAAGTGGATATTAGGAAGAGTGGTAGCTTATAAAAGCAGCTTGCTAGATAAAGACCTATTTGGAAAGGCTTTTAAAAAGTGTATTGTTTACCCACTGGAGCTGTCAGGTTACCATATTTACTCAAAGGAAGGCAGATTTTCTTTTTTTTTAAATCTGGCCTAAGCTTTTCTTAAAACGGGCTATTGACCGGAATCAATACAGAGAGTGGCCTAAAAAGACACAGGACAGCGTGGCCTTGCTAGCACCTAAATAAATTGTCAGCCCAAGGTCATGCCTTCCATCCGTATCAGAAACTATTGTTCAGTGGCTTATATTGAATGTGAACTGCTGGAGGCCCAAAGTATAGATACAAAAACATCTTTGGGGTGGGAAGCCACTCCAAGAAGCCCCCTAAATTCATCAGGTTTCCCTCCGATACTGGGAGAATATTTTGACTATTCAGCGCTACAGATTTTGATTATTAAAACTATCTGTGATTGCAATTTTTTTAATAACTGCTTGTTCCTGTCATGTAAGCAAAATCACATATGAAATATAATCAATCTGTCTTCTTCTCTTTTCCTCCTCAGTAGGGCAGACTGATGCTGTGGTCTGTGACTTGCTCTCCTGTCAGTGTGTAGAAAAGTTTCCAGCGAGCTCAGATGCAACTTTGGACCTTGCTCCTAGTGGAGGTACCAGTCTGTCACTAGTGCGTCATCAGCGTGGGTGTGGTTATGCTGCTGTAACAAACAAGCCCACAGTCTCAGTAGCTTAATACCCTAAAGTTTTGTTTCTCACTCAGGCAAAGTCCCCCATGGCTTTGGAAAACTCCTCAAGGCAACTGTCCTCCCTGTGGCAACGTGACAGCGCAGACTGCTTCGATCCTGGGGCCTAGCCAGGTCAACACAAGGCCTTTTCATAGCAGCCACAGTGGGCAATCAGAAGGACATAACGCTCTGCTTGTAACCCATGAGCAGAATTAACCACATGGGTCCAACCAACTGGAAGTGGTGGGAAAGCAGAATTTCTGTGTGCCTGGAAAGAAGGAGAGCCAGAGAAAGACAACGCCCCAGAAGTTTTACCACAGTGGGAAAAAGAAAGCAATCTAATTATTCACCTTTTAGATAGGAAATTGTGTGTGTGTGTCTGTGTGTGTGTTTGATTATAAGAAAGAGAGAGAGACAGAGAAAGAGAGAGTTTGAGAGAGATGAAGTGTACAAAGAAAGCAATGTGATGGCGGTAGGTGTTCTTCTGATCTGAAAATGAATTTTAGGTGTTCTTATGCTTACTTAATGGATAAATGGTCGACTGTGAAGATGTGTGAGCAATGTTACTAGAACATAGAAAGTAGCCAATTTAGATGTTTATATTCTTAGAGTTTTTGTTTGATTGAATAGGAGCTTTGCAAAGATATTTAAAACTAGAGCTCTTTAAATGAAAACCAACTTAATATAGGTAAAGAAAAATAATATTAAAGAAGGCTCCTCCATATAACTCTAAAACTCTTCTCAACCAAGGACAATTTTGCCCCTCAGGGAAACTTTTGCAATGTCTGGAGACAGGTTTTACTGTCACAACTGGGAGTGGGGGTGTTACTGGCATCACTGACAATTCACAGGACAATACTAACAACCAGAGAATAATCTGGCTCAAAATGTAATAGTGTCAATGCTGGGAAGGCTGAAGCTTAAGTTCAAGGCTATGAGCTTAGTTGTCTCATTGTAGGCAGGTTCCTCCTAGGCAGGTTTCAGTTCTTCCATTTGTTAAGCAGATAACTTATTTTCATCCCTCATATAGTTAAAGATAAATAAATAAGAAATTACACACTTTGGAATGATATGAGTCCCACAAAAGCTGAATTCCCACACACCTAAAACATTATAAACTTTGAGAGGTACCTGGTAATGTCACTAATTCATTTAATAGAGGTGTAGACCCTCCCTGAGTACCTACCACAGTCCAGGATTTGTGTTAAGCATTAGCCATGGGGAGATGAGCAAGATGCAGCAACCACACCCAGGGACCAAGTCTGAAACAAACACGTAAACAGGTAATCTAATCATTTGTGGTAGTTAATACGGGTAGGTTTATCCCAGGGGCCATGATCACTTGACTCAGATATGTGAGTGTGTATCTGTGTGTATTACGTCTACGCACACACATACATGAAAATCAATACGTTTCTAAAAATATTTCAGTATATTCATACACCACCAAATGCACATTAATGCACAATGCAGTTGTGGTCTTTAACGTCTTCATGGCTTTGGGGAGATCTTTTACTCACAGCAGAGAGCCTATGAGGTTGACGTGAAGGCTCTGAGCACTGAGGGGCCCATCCAAACACTTGTTACACTATCAAGTTAAAAGAGAGACACCATGATGACAACTGCAAGAGATGAAATGATGTGGACAAGTGGACTTCCAAAGCATCAAGTCTGGGCTATGTTTTTAGATTTATACAACAAATATTTCTTTAGCACCTACTGTGTGCACAGCATGGGGGATGATCTGACAAGTAGGAAGAAGAGTTGTTTGTGACCTCAGAGAAGGGATGGTAGACAGGTGCTGAGACACGGGGAGGCGGGGACAAGGGAGCAGAGGAGGGAGCGATGGCAGGACTGAGTGCTCACTGAGGACTGACTGGTGGGGAACTCCGTCTTGGGCCTCTAATGGTGTGTGTTTACTTGTGTATTCCTCACCCTTTGCCTTGAATGTCTTGCTCACCACTGTCTCCCTAGCTTCTGGAACAGTGGTTGTCACATAGTAGGTGATCAATAAATGCTGCTGGAGTGAAAGAATGGATGAATGGATGGATCTCAGTCTGAGGAGGGAAGGAGCAGCTTTCCAGGCCTGAGAGACATGGGCAAGGCAGGGAGGAAGGCAGATCCTTAGGACTGACTGCACTTGAAGATGGAGTAGACACTTGGCCTGTTGCCTCATGGGAGAAGGGGCAAATGAAGGCAGGAGAGAATGAGTTCACAAGCTCCGGAGATCTCCATAGACTGGAGATCAGAGAAGAGGGAAGAGGAGTGAGAGGAGTGACAAGATTGCACAGGCTGTGACAAAAGTGGTGACCGACTTGGAATTAGACTGAGGATCTTAGTTCAGATGAAGTTCAGAAGCTTAAGTCAGTTGTGACTGGCTTCAGACTGGGGTCCCTAATGTCCCTCCACCCTCCTCGACCCCCACTAAATGCAGGGCAGGAATCTGGATCTGGCTTTGCAATATCCAAGGGTGTGGCTCATCCTCAGGAAAAAGATATTCATTCAAATCCACTTTAATTTGAGCACTGAGTCTGCCATAAAAACTTTTGGAAAGTTTTCTGTGAAACTTACCAGACACAGCGTTCTACTGCAGTGGCCCCCCAAATGGGTGTAGTGGGCAGCGACCCTGTGAAGCAGAACCATCACATGTTTTTTGATTTATTGAGATATAACTCACATGGCGTAAGTTTACCCTTTTAACATATGCAGTTCAGTGGTTTTTAGTATATATTCAAAGTTGTGGACCCGTCACAATTATCTAATTCCAGAACACTTGTTATGATCTCAGAAAGAAATCCCATAACCATTAGCAGTCATTCTTCGTTCTCCCCTCCCCCCAGTCCCTAGCAACCATCAACCTATTTTCTGTCTCTAGAGATTTGCCTATTCTGGACATTTCATATAAATGGAATCATACAGGATGTGGTCCTTTATGACTGACTTCTTTCGCTTGGCATAATGTTTTCAAAGTTCATCCACGTTGTAGCATATGTCAGTATTTCATTCCTTTTTATTGCCAAATAATATTCCAGTGCATGGATATTGTTATGACCAAAAATTCACATGTTGGAGTCTTAACCCTCAGAACATCAGAATGGGATTGTATTTGGCCATAAAATCTTTAAAGGGGTCATTAAGTTAAAATGAGGTCTTTAGGGTGGGCCCTAATTCAATATGACTGGGGCCCTTATAAGAAGAGAAATTTGGACATAGACATGTACAGAGGAAAGAGCAGCATGTGAGGACACACTGAGAAGGCAACCATCTGCAAGCCAAGGAGAGAGGGCTCAGAAGAAACCAACCCCGCCGACACCTTGAGCTTGGACTTCCAGCCTCCAGAAGTGTGAGAGAATAAATTTCTGTCATTTAAGTCCCCCCGACTGGAATTTTGTTATGGCAGCTCCAGCAAACTTATACACCCATGCTTTGTTTATCCATTCATCAACTGATGGACATTTGGGGATCAGATGCTTTTTTCAGGCTTATTGCATCTGACTCTGACATGCCGCATCCAGTTCAGTGTGTCTTGAGGGCTCTGGAAGGCCCCTCTATGGTGCCAGAGTCTGTGGGGGCTTGTAGGGTGTGAGTACCAGCACAGAGGGCTGGTTTCTAATCTTGCTTTCTCCAGAATGAAAGCTCACAGGCATGCATCTTGTACGGCCATGAGGATAGGTACTCTGATTTCAGGGTCCGAGAAATGTCCACCTGCACAAAAGTATTTCTCTCTCTGCCCTAGCAAGGTGCTACCTACCTTCTTGTCTGGCTGTATTTACTCCAAAGGAAGGCTCTGATGGAGAGAAATACCTGAGGTGAGTATGGGTTTACAGAAGGCCTCCACAAAAACATATGCTCTCACTTGCAACAAGACTGCCTGCTGGGGGGGGCGGGGGGGGGGTGGCCCTGGTCTCTCCCCAGCACGGATTACAGTCAAGTTAATTGCCATGTGGGAAGGCCTGCCCAGTCTGACCAAAGTGGGATAAGACAGAGAATGGATCTTGGGGAGGTTACGGCACACAGACCTGGGCTCAGGGGAACTGAAATGGACACATGAGGGTCTGTGTAGAGGAGGGCAGACAGGTCAGCTCAGACCGGCTGGGAGCGCAGAGCGAGAAACTCCAACACAGTGTGCAAGTCCCACCTATAGCTTTCTCACCTGCTTTTGTGCATTTGCTTACTGTGTTGACAGGCACGCAAGAATATACCTATCCAGGAACATAAATAGTCAACTGTATTTGCTCGCTTTCAATTTAAAGAGAGATTGAAGATGAAGAGTCATCCTAGTTTGCAAAGGACTTTTCTCCCTGTTCCCTTGACCTAACCAAGTTGCCCAGGCTTAACCACTGATGATGACAACTGCATACTTTCCTTATATTGTTAAATTTCTCTCATTAGGAAACTCCCTCAGGCAGCTGAGTGATGGAGAAATTGGAAGTGTTTTAATAGGGTGTGTCGCTCTTTGCTTGTTGGCAAGTCAGCCTAGACTTCATATCAGAAGGAAGGTGAAAGGTGACGAGCAACAGGTAAGGTGGCCGATTGTGCTGTTACCATCATTTGTGTGAGGGTGGAGATCACACATGTCCCAGTGATATTGTGCTTCCACCCCAGCCATCCTTCTTGGGGATCTTGGAGACTCAGGGCTGTTTGTGTAATTGCTTCTTGTAAATGAGCTCCTACTCTGCAACACTTTACAGTAAACCACTTTCCTTTGCCATCTGGTATCCAGTTGTTTTAACCGAGTTTCCAGGATTTGCATCAGTCATTTACAAGAACCTTTTTAACCTTCACAAAATGGAATAATTGAAGTCTATCCTTTCAACCTCACGTCGTTTCAGAAGGGCTTTGAAATCAAGGAACGGAGGGGCTGAAAGATGGGATGAGATTTAAACAAAAAGGGTTCAGCTCTTCTCCGAGATGATCAGAAATGCTGACTTTTAGGTGAGGGGTCGTAAGGCTGGAATGGGTTCTCCCTTCTGTTATGGGCTCATCTGTAAGGAAAAACTCTCTCTTGCAATGGTGAAATGGAGAGGCTGATAAGCTGGGAAAAGGAGTGCCCTTCCTTTGCACCGGGTCTAGAAATCCTCGCTTGGTATACATTGGTGTCTCCCTGCCCAGCTTTCCCCATTACTCACCTTTCACCCTCTTCTGCTTTAAACCATGACTTCTGTGCCTTGCTTGGAGGGAGAGGAAAATGAAGAGAGATTCAAATATTTGCATTGTGCTGCTTCTCTTCAGAAAAGCCTGTTTCACTAAATAATATGGGTGGAAGGAGATTAGGACCACTGGATAAAATTTTGGATTTTACTTACATTCTCCAAACAGTGCAGAATATAAAATCCTTTAGTTGCAGATAAGACTATAGTTCAAAAGCTTTTGGCTCTGGGACTATCTGGCCACCTTGTGTCTTTCTCATTTCTAGTCTTAATCACCACTGATGACACAGGGCCTCTGGAGGTCTAAGTAAAGGGAAAGTTTAATTAAAAATAAACTCTCCACCTTTCCTGAGAAAGGCTTTTCCAAGGTGGCTGTTACTTAACCCTTAATCCCATAATGACCTGCTAGCCTTTTGGGCAGTAGCATAAATTCGTTTCTGACTCAAATCAACCATAATTTGCTTGGGTTATTCTGAAGCTTTTCTGATTAATTCTCACACTCCCTAAATAACTTAGTCTGAAAGCAATTCTTTTTAATTATTGAAAGGTTTTCTTAAGAGTTTCGAACTTTTCCTAAGGAAAGGTTCCCATTCTCATCTATCTTCCTGTCCTTTATTTTCTGGTTCCTAATTGTTGATGAGAACTCTGTCTTTTGGGAGAAGGCATGGAAAATATCCCAGAGAAAGAGAACAATCTATGGAATCTGAATAAAATGTACTCTTATAGTCCATCTCAACCAGGGTCTGCATCCAAAAGATCCCCCCAAGTGTGGAGGAGGAGAAATGTGGGATCATTTGAGTATGAGAGAAAACACACATCCAACTGTAGGAGAACTGAGCAGCGATGCGGCGATGTACTCTGTGCTTCTTTGGGAAAGAGGGAATTCTAGCCATATCATCTAGGAAGACTTCCTAGACATGCACGCTGTACGTTCTTCTCTCTCACCCTCACGCCTTGTTAACCTCTGCCTCCCTTACTGCTCACTCCGTCTGCAGGTTGCCCACGCTCTACTCTCTCCACTCCCTCAACGGTTCTTCTCACCTACCTGTGCCCCCACCAGGCACATCTTCCTTCTCACTAGAAACAACTTGGGGAGCTCTGCAGCACTTCTCATGCAAAGGTCTGGTGGCTGGTCCAGCAGATCAAGCATCCTCCCTCCTTAAACGGCTGGGATAGGGATAGTGATGCAGATACTTGCAACTGAGTATTCTCTGACTCAGGGGAAGTGGGCATGACCAAGATTAGGATCTGCCCACTCTGTGGGGGATAGAACCTGGTGGGTTCTTCCTCGTACTTCCAGGGTACTGTGGTCATGTCCTCATCTATTTGAGACTTTAGTTCAGAGTTGTGTCTGTATTTGCCCAGTGGCTTGATGGGCCGCTTATTAACCACACTCTATTATGTGAGAGACGAGGACGGCACTCCTAGAAAAACTTGGTTTTCAATTTCTTTATTTGCTTGTGGTTCTCAATTTCTTTCTTCATTTTATTCATTTTCCTAGCTTCTTTCAACCACACAAGAAAATATATCTTTGCACCCAAAGAGAAATTTCAGGATGCAAAATGTTGATTGGTTTGAGTAAGAATTTTAATTGTTGTTGTTTTCTGTGAATGTAGTTAAACAGTGCTTTACTCGCAGTACTCCCTAAGGGTATTTCCTAAACCAGGAAGGCGGATACTGGTTCTTAAGTTTGAAACCATGGCCATCCATGGATGGTGCCCAACTGAGGGTTAAACCCTGTAGGATTTTATTCTAAAGAAAACGTGCAGTTGACAGAGGAAGTGGATCCTATCATTACAGCCAACAGGGAGAAGATTCACCCGAGAGGACTGGATCCCCTTGGGAACTCTGCCGGGTACGCCCATGGTCTCTGCTGTGGGGAATGAGTTTCACCCACACGAGCTCCTGGACGCTCGCACTAGGCTGTCCTGTGGGCAGTGGAGTTCTGGAGAAAGGGTATTTAGCTTTCATTGACTCACCAAAGAGGCAGATGAGAACTACTGCCCACAGGGTGTCATTAGTTCTCAGTTTGATGCACACAATCAGAACGTGGCATCAGAGAAAATAGCATTAGCAGCGCTGATGGCAAAGGCCGGGTTGGAAAAACTGTTCTGTTTAAGGAGTGTTGGGATTTGACAGTATGTTCATCTGGCACTTTTACTGGGTGTAATGTCTTTATTCAGCCAGGCACCAAGTGTGTTATAGCTGCTCACTTATTTGAGGAAACTGCTTTCTGTGGGGTGCTTGGCGGCTCGCCGGCTGAGGCACCTTCCCGCGGCAGCCTGGGCGTGATTCCCCTTTAAGGATGGAATAGATCCGACATGAATCGGAGCCTGTGCTGAAGCTGATGTCCAGTGTAAGCAGAGCAGGCCTGGATTTTTACTGCTTGGTGTTCCAAGTTAACGTTTTGCTGAGAAATATTAAGTGTAACCAAATATTACAAGGAACACAGTGTTCCTGCTATATTTCCAGGGCGTCTGATCAATGGGAAAAATGAGAAGTCGAAATAAACAGAAAGGACAGAGAACTGAGCAGGCAACTGGGCTTAAAGGAAAACTGAGTAAAGTAGAGGAAATGATTTTTCAAAGAAAATACAGATAACCGGGCAAAGGAAGGCCGATGCGACGCGGAGAAGTGTCTGTCTTGCTCTGGGTCCAGGTCAAGCCAGGGAGCATGGTGGGGCCGTGCTTCGCATTTTCCTCTGGGGCCTGGTCTCTCAATAAGTCCAGCTGTCAGAGGCAATGCCAGGAACAGGCGAGATGCAAAGCAGTCAGGGGAAAGAGGTCCAACCTCCAGGAGAAAACAGCCCCGCAGAACGGGAGCTGATGAATTGCTGCCAGCAGGCCCAGAGGCCATGGAGGATTTTACTCTCAAGTAAAACTGGAGTTCACGGAGGAAGTAGATCCTATAATTGAAGCAAACATGGAGAAGATCCACGCTAGAGGATCGAGTCCCTTGGGGACTCTGCAGTTTGAGCCAATGTTCTTTGCCTCAGTTGCTTCACCTCCGTGAGCTCCTGGAACCCTCAGAATAGTGTGTGATGTGGGCTGCATGTCATGATGGCAGCTCTACAGCGCACAGTTCTCCTTGTTTGTTGTGAGAGCTCTCCTGGGCATTGTAGGTTGCTGGGCAGCACCCCCGGCCTCTACTCACAGGAAACCAGTAGCACCCTTCCCCCAGCTGTCACACCCAAAATTATCAAATGTCCCCTGGGTGGCACAATCATCTTTGGTTGAGAACCACTGCTACAAAGGAAGAGCTAAGACCCAGAAAGTGTATGTGGCCCATCTTGGCGGGGGGCGGTTGCACAAGAAACTGATGCAAAGCCAGACCTGGAACCTGCTAACTACGGAGCTTTGATGACATCTTGGCCTTTTCTATGACTGTAATCTCAACTGGAGAGCAACAGCCATGTAGAGTTTGGTCCCAGGTTCAAACTTGGACTCCACATTCAACTTACTGTCTACGTGCGTGCAGCTACCTTACCCCATTTCGTTGTGCCTCAGTGCCTTCATCTGTAGAACAGCTTTGATGATAACAGCATCCACCTTACAGGGTATTAGCCGAGTAGAACAAGATAGGGCAAGCGAAGAGCACAGTACAAAGTTGTGCTATGCAGTAAGCTCTCAATAAGGGCTAATTTTGGTTCTTCCCTGCTATCTGCTGCTTGCTCGAATAAACTGCTTTTAGTTTCCTTTGCTTATGTGGTCCCCTCTACCTGGAATACCCTTCCACCAACTTCTTCATACGACTAACTCCTTCCAGCCCATCGAGTCACAATTTAAGCTTCATCTCCACAGAGAAGGTTATGGGTCCCCATGCTATGTCCCCATAGCAGCCCCTAAATTGTCAGGTTTACCATATTATATGTATTGAAATGTCTGTGTTTGTGTCTGTGTTCCTAACTAGACTGACCATGAGCAAGCAGGCTAGGGACCTTGTATAATTGATTTATACATCCTTATGGCACTCAGTGAATGGGTATCACCTTAAAGGAGAAATGATGGAGATGTCAGAGATCAAGGAGGATGCTTACAGAATGCCTGGAGCTCATTTAGAAGGTATGAGTGCCAAGTTTGGCCCCTTTAAGAGGCCTCAAGACAATTTTATACTCAATTTACCAGTCAATGGGAAGCTGTCATTTGCTTTCGGTGATGGAGGGAGTGGGGGTTGGGGTGGCTTGATCAGAGCCATGCCATGGGAAGATTAAACTGGCAGTAGATCGCAGTATAAATTGGACTGGACAAAGTCTGGAGTCAGGAAAAGATTAGTTAAGCAACTTAACTGCAGGAGAAAAGTCATAGGCCAAAACTGTAAATACAACTGTAAAACATCTTCAAGTTAATAAGAGTGTTAATATTAGGAGAATGGTGACAAATGGTCAATCATTGATTGTTTGGGGAGATGAAAGAGAGAAAGAATCCTCAGCAGTGGTAAGAGTATTTTGGGGTATAAGGAGGTTATTCTGCCAGTGAGGATCATTGCATAGCAGAGTACGGTTTCAAAGAAAGTTCCAGAGTCTCCTCTGGAGATCTTTAAAAACTAGAGATGACCCTTCTCAGTCAGGTACGGTGGTTAAATGCCCTGATTGCAGTTAGGGAATGGGGCCAGTGGGAGACGGGGCGTGGGAAGGTTGGTAGAGATGGAATGAATGTTCCTGTCCTTATTCTGAGAATCAGAGTCATTTCTCAAAATTTGAGTTAGAAATCCCAAATAATGTCTCAGAGAAATTGAACATGGCCACGTCTATAAGGGAAAGATGTTTGAGGACTGCATGGAGAAGCCAGACTCAGCTGTAGAACAAAGAAAAACACCACAGACAAAGCACCTTGAATATTTTGGGAAGAAGAGGGTTTAGATACTTGTTTACATAGATTGGTGCAGCTGTGAAACGTATACACATCCTAAAGTTGAGGGCAGGTCTCCCCTCCTTCCAGATCCACATATAAAGTCTATCTCAGGCTGTAACTCAGCCTTTCTAAGTCACGGCCACATTTTCTTCTGCGTCTCGTATAAATGTTCGTAAAATCAAAGAACGAATTTCCAGTCCCCTTACCTGGTCTGGTGTGAGAAGCTGGAGTCTGAGGCTGGGATCCCAGCCTTCTGTGGGTAGCATGCTGCTACTCAGAAGAGATAGAAGGGTCTCCGCCCCAGATGTGGCCTCTGGCATTCTCATAGACTAAGGAGAGCTGGGGAAGTAGCTAAGGGAGAAAACAAAACCAGATCTCAACTCCAAAGTCAAAGCTTACCTTGTTCTCCTCTCCAAGCACAGCTGTGGTCTGGCCAGCCAGGAGCCTGCGGGATATCAGCTGAGTCTTGCAGGATGGAGCAAATGAGCTGCTGGCCTGGGCTAGGCCCTTTGCCCTCACCTGGGCTTTCAGGAAGGAGCTGATGTCCTGAATTATTGATGGCTGCCTAAGTAAACAGCTGCAGAAAATAGGAGGAATCCCTTCCTCTCCCATCACCAGGAGGACCAGAGGAGGAGGGAAGCACTTCTTTCAGGATGGCAGCGAATTCAGACAGAATACTCATGGAAGACCTGGGCCAAGTGCATTCCACGCATGCAGCCTCCTCTCCAGCTTCCTTACATAGAAACCCTCACGATTTTGCTTCTGAAATTAAGAAGCAATGGACTGGATGATACCATTAATTTAGACATTGCAAGCTAACGCAAAAATAGACATGATGCTAATATTTGCAAATAAAATCCATTCTAAAAAAACCGTTTAAGCAAGAAAAGAAAGAAGGGAAAGGAATAGCCCATGGCTTCCTTATCTTGCCTAATTGAATGAGCGAGGGAAGGGGGCCAGTCAGTGGCACAGCAGTTAAGTTAGCGCTCCGCTTTGGTGGCCCAGGGTTTGCCGGTTCCGATCCTAGGTGCGGACCTATGCACTGCTCATCAAGCCATGCTATGGCAGGTGTCCCACTTATAAAGTAGGGGAAGATAGGCATGGATGTTAGTTCAGGGCCAGTCTTCCTCAGCAAAAAGAGAAGGATTGGTGGCAGATGTTGGCTCAGGGCTAATCTTCCTCAAAAAAAAAATGAGCAAGGGAAAGAGGCCCTTTGTCAGGACCCTGGAGAAATTGAATGAAGGGTACAGGACGCAGCAAGGATGGATGAAGGTGGCAAAGAGAAAAGGATATGCCTGTAAATGGTGGCAGGCGACACGTAAGATGGAAAATGGTGGATCGTATCTATCATTACGTTGCATTTGCATCCACTTACTGCATACTTTTAACATCTAAACTGGAGCAGGATAGGCAATAAAAATGTAGTGCTGCCTTCACAGGATGGTGAGGCTCTCTCTCGGTGGCTCCGTAACTACAGAGCAGGCTAAACCATGGGGCTGGTCCCTGCCAAGGGGGACCATCAGAAAGCTCACAGCTGGTGTGATTATTCAACCGATATGCCCAGAGAACCTACTGTGCGCCAGGCACATGCTGTACTGCCTGGGCTGAAATGAATGAACTGTGTTTAAGGAATTCAGAGTCTAGTCATAGGAGCAATTGAGAATATATGACTGTTGGCTTAAGCACCTCCATTTACTTTGAGTAACAGGAGTTAATTGAACACATTTTGCTTTCCCACAGCTCTTACTAAGCCTTTAGAGGTTTCAGACCACTGTTGCTGCCAAATGCAGCCCACCAGGGACAGATACCATGTTTAAAAGAATAGTTTTGTATTCCCTCCATAGAGTTGGTTAGGAAATGATATCAAAGGAGTGGGGTTATGCAAATGAAAATAAGATGTTAAACGAAGAGAAAGACATACATCAGCAAATACCGATGTAGTTGATCATTTGTTCCTTCAAAAGATACTATTGAGGACTCATGTCTAAGATACTGGATGAGGTGCTAACCCTGAAATCGGGTCAGGAAGGTGTTTAAGAGGCACCCAGGTCATCCAGTGGTTTTCAAAGCAGTGCAGATCACATGCAGAAAACAGCGGAGTATGCTGAACACCACATACGCCAGTGATACAGGTAATCAATGCTGCAACGTTTCCAAGCAATAAAGGGTACATTCACCAAGGGAAAGGACAAATCTGAGGTCTTGAAGGATAGGTGGAATTTCAACAGCAAAAAAAAGAAGGGAAGAGCATCCTGATGTGAGGAGGGAGGGTGGGAGTGGGAGTGGGACATGGAGCAGGGGGGACAGTCTGAACAGCCTTGGGAATATCAAGTCCAATCTGCCTGCCCCTCAGCAGGTGTGTCCACATCTCTCCCTGCGCCAGCTCCCAGGGTGGCCCAACCAGCATCACCACAGCTTCTGACTGGATGCTGCTTTCTTGAATTCCCTACAGTTCTTGCTGCCTATTCCCCACCCCGATCTGGTCTCCGTGGAGCAACCCGAGTGGTCTTATTTAAACATAAATTAGATCACGTCACATACCCGTATAAAGGAGGCCTACAGACTTCTTAAAATCCCAGCTTACCTGTCTATCCCACCTGCTGATTCTTTTCCAGCCTCTGTGGTCTTCCTTCTGCTCTTCGCACTGACTAAGCTCATGCCCCCATTAAGGGTTTCAGACTCAATTTGCCAAGCATAGCCTGCCCCGACCCTTTGAATACCTGGCTCCCTCTCAGTTATCCATCCGACAACTACTCGTTGGGTGTTCTTCTTACCACCCTTGGGGCCGATTCCTGGGATACAGATTCAGGGAGCTTCTGATCACAGCTGGAATGCCACCTCTTCAGAAAGATCTTCTCTGGCTACTCTACATCAATCAGCTGCTTCCTGCCCTTTCTGCCATGCTTATTTCCTTCACAGTATTTCTCACCAGCTGTAATCATTGGGTGCATCTGTTTGTTTGCCTGTTTATTATCTTTCCTGGTAGAAAGTGAGCTCTATAAGGATGGGGATCATGTCTTGTTTTTTGTCCTCAGCATCTAGAAGAACACAGGACACAACAAAGGCCCTCAATAAATGTACAGTTAATGAATGAACGAGTAATGAGACACAAAGACTGGAGAGTTTGATTGGGATCAAATTTTGGAGAGCTCTACATTAGGGAAAATCTTTATCATATTCGTTTATGTGCTGGGCTCTCTCTAGGTGCCTATGGACACAGTTGGGAATAAGTCAGAGAAGAGGCCTAGAATCCTGGGACTTCCATTTGTGATCAGTGTTGTCCAATAGAACTTTCTGTGATGACAGAAGTGGTCCATATCTGCTCTGCCCAATATGGTGGCCGTTAGCTACATGTGGCTATTAAGCACTTGAAATATGATTGGTGCGACCAAGGAAGTGAACCTTGTATTTTATTTAGTTCATGATATTTAAATTTAAATTGTCACATGCAGCTATTGGCTGCTAAATTGGACAATATAATTCAAGATGACCACAACAACTGCCTGATGAGACAGACCTCACTGTTTTTCATTTAAAAAATACACTTACTTTGGATTAATGCCAGCTCTTTTGTCAAAGGCTAATTCTTTCAATGTTTTTCTTCTAGCACTTCCCTCAATCCTCTCTAGCCAGCCAAGGTTTTCTCTCTAAGTCGGTGTCTGGACACAGTGGATAGCCTATGGGTCCTCGTGGCGGCAGTGGGATGAGGGCCTCACACCCAGATACGGGTTCTTCTCCTCTTCTCTGGGTCTTCTTGACTTCTCAGAGATGACCTTATCCTACCTGGTCACAGGATGCCCTGCTAACACTAATCACTGACGTCTACTGCTGACAAAGCCCATAGCTGGGTTCCCAAGCATGGACAAGACAAAATGATCTTTCCTGGAATCCCCTGGATCCTACTGGCAAGGCAGATCTTCTGCTCCTCAGCCCACTGCCATGCTGCCATTGCCTCAACATGGTGGCCCATCCCAAGTACCTCACTGGGAACGTAAGATACATGACACAAGAACCGAGGGCCACTTGGGGACCCTGTTTCCCTCAGGTTTAAACTTAAATTTCCATGCCTCTCCTTCCACTTACCATCCTGCATTTACCCCCTGCACAGGGTGATGGTGCAGGCCTCTACATGACACAGGTTGGTTTATGCCCTGAGCTAGTTCCAACGTTCAACATGGTGAGTTGGAACCACTGTGCATTCCCGCAGAAGCCCAGGGGCTTGATGCTTTAACTTCAGAGCTTCATCACTCCTCTGCTTCAGGAGGCTCATGAGTGTTAATGAACTGCTAGCCAAGGGCGGGGTGTCTGCAAGGGGCTGTTCACATGGGGCTCAGCAACTCTCACAGTATGGGTGTGGCTCACTTTTGCTGGGAGACACATAGAGGTCACGCAGCCCATTCCCAGTGGACAGTGCTGGTGTGCCAGTGTGGCCCTCTCACTCTGTGCTGTGCCATGAGTGGTCTGCAGGCATTGGCTGGACTTTCATGTGGGCTTTGGCTGCGTGGGGCCACTGATGTCCTAAAAAGACAATTTTCTAATAAGATCTGTTAACTGGCTTGCTTGTAGTCATCTATTAGTTACCCTTGTAGGCTCTTAGCCCTGCCAGAATTTGCTTCTTAAAGCCCGTCAACTCCAGAGAAAGCAGGAATGGGTTTTCTGTAGCAATCCGTATTCCACAAACTGCAGTAACTGAAGGAAGGATGGAACAGGAGTGGTCAAGACAGCCAGAGGCACACAGGGATGTGTTCTGTAAAGTCTTGTGTCTTTCAGTGACCAGAGGCCTAGAGCATTGCACAGAGAAGTGGAGGAGGCTGAGGACCACAGGGACAATCCCAGGATGAGGGGGACTTGGTCAGGGGTAGAAGCATCATCTACAGTCCCAGGGCTGTGGCAACAAAGGTGCATTTTGGGGTGGGGGCTCACATAAGAAAATCCAAGCAGTGGGCTGCATCAACACACATGTCATAGAATCATAGCCTCAGAGTGGGAAACACCCCAGATTCCTTCTCATCCACAGTCTCCCCCGTCTTTGACGTGTGTGTCTCTGAGTCATCTGGGTAGATAAGATAACAAAATATCCTCCTAGGGAGTCAGCAGCAGAGGCTTGCCAATATTGTTGATTCTGCTGAATTTCAAAATGTTGGGAGCAGGCAGCAGGAACCAATATATTTTGAAAATTGGCATCCTAAAGCCACTGCAATGGCGCTGCTCTTCCTGAGGTCTTTGCTTCTTTCAGCCCTTCCCCAACATTGTACAATGAGTGGCCCTAACTGCATCCAGGGCACAAGGCCATGGGAGCAGAGCCCTCAGTCTGAAACCCAAGACCCTCCAGTCCTGCCTCATG